TTGCATAGCTGTCTTTCAATGGTCTGCTATTGATATCAACCTAATGGATTTTATTTTAATGATAGCACCGTACATGGTAAATAACGTCACTTCTATCCGTTCATAATACTACATATACCTGTCAATCTCAATAAAACTCTCAATTAAAGAACAAGAGGATAACCTATCATGAATATAGTACATGATTAATTGCATTGGAATGAAGGTTTGTTTGATTCTTTAAAAGACCTTGTATGTCACAGCCAATATATCTGTAAAAGTAAGGTGTGATTACAGTCTCTCCTTCTGTGTTATAGGGGATAATACAATGTCAGACAATAGAACTAAAACTGGAGATATCACCCGGACAAAATGTAACAGAATGGCTGGGTACAGTTATGTAGTATCTCCTCCATTACTATAGGCTGGGGACAAATACATAGGACATCAGACATTGGAACTAGTACTGGACCATGGTTTAGAACATGCCATTAAGTAGTACCCCCAATAGACCGATCAAGACTAAAGAATGATGAGGATGTTAATTCTGATGTCCAGAAGTGGGGGCCCGTTCACAGATTCAACACGATGGTGTGTCACAGGATGTTCCGCAGTGCCGAGTGTCTGGCAGCAATTTATAATGATTGGCCAGAGGAAATCCGGCCATCAGCTACTAGTCATCAGTGACACTTTTAGGCTGATTTGTTCAATTCAATTCAAACGATTACTACAATTGTACAAATGCAATTTCTTTGAAAACTGAGTCAATGTAGCTGAAGTGTGTGCATTCTAGATAAAATGTAAGCATACACATGCATAAATAATGATAGTTGATTAAACATTTTGTAAAATAACTATCTGGTAAGTTGGAGTAAGCTTTCCTTATCATTGTTTATGTATATCTTCTACATTTAACCCCAATTTGTCTAACGTGGTCATTAATCTTAACCCAAGGAAATTTAGATTATTTGAATTTAACTACCATGTGCATCATTACTCCAGAAATAATATGGCTTACTTGTGCTGGTTTATAGTGTTCTTAATAAGCATGATTTAGGGTTAAGTCTTATCCAATTATTGTGTATACAAGCTAATTAGGGGATAACGTGTGCATACACAATTAACAGTGTGCATACACCATTAACAGTGTGCATGTACACCATTAACAGTGTACATACACCATTAACAGTGTTCATACACCATTAACAGTGTACCTACACCATTAACAATGGTCATACACCATCAACAGTGTTCATACACCATCAACAGTGTGCATACTCCATTAACAGTGTGCATACACCATTTAATTAGGGGATAACGTGTGCATACACAATTAACAGTGTACATACGCCATTAACAGTGTGCATGTACACCAATAACAGTGTACATACACCATTAACAGTGTGCATGTACACCATTAACAGTGTGCATATACCATTAACAGTGCATACACCATTAACAGTGTGCATACACCATTAACAGTGTACATACACCATTAACAGTGTGCATACACCATTAACAGTGTGCATGTACACCATTAACTGTGTACATATACCATTAACAGTGTACATACACAATTATCAGTGTACATACACCATTAACAGTGTGCATACACCATCAACAGTGTACATACACCATTAACAGTGTGCATGCACACCATTAACAGTGTGCATATACCATTACCAGTGCATACACCATTAACAGTGTGCATACACCATTAACAGTGTACATGCATATACCATTAACAGTGTACATGCATATACCATTAACAGTGTGCATACACCAATAACAGTGTACATACACCATTAACAGTGTGCATACACCATCAACAGTGTACATACACCATTAACAGTGTGCATGCACACCATTAACAGTGTGCATATACCATTACCAGTGCATACACCATTAACAGTGTGCATACCCCATTAACAGTGTACATACACCATTAACAGCATACATACACCATTAACAGTGTACATACACCATTAACAGTGTACCTACACCATTAACAATGTACATACACCATCNATACACCATTAACAGTGTACATACACTATTAACAGTGTGCATACACAATTAACAGTGTGTATACACCATTAACAGTGTACTTACACCATTAACAGTGTGCATACACTATTAACAGTGTCCATACACAATTAACAGTGTGCATACACTATTAACAGTGTGCATACACCAATAACAGTGTACATACTCTATTAACAGTGTACATGTACACCATTAACAGTGCGCATGTACACCATGAACAGTGTGCATACACCATGAACAGTGTACATATACCATTAACAGTGTGCACACACCATTAACAGTGCGCATGTACACCATGAACAGTGTGCATACACCATCAACAGTGTGCATACCCTATTAACAGTGTCCGTACACAATTAACAGTGTAACAGTGTGTATACATCATTAACAGTGTACTTCCACCATTAACAGTGTTCATACACCATCAACAGTGTGCATACCCTATTAACAGTGTCCGTACACAATTAACAGTGGACATACACTATTAACAGTGTGCGTACACAATTAACAGTGTACATACACTATTAACAGTGTGCATACACCATTTTCAGTGTACATACACCATTAACACTGTGCATACACGATTAACAGTGTGCATGTACACCATTAACAGTGTACATACACCATTAACAGTGTACATACACCATTAACAGTGTGCATACACCATTAACAGTGTGAATACACCATTAACATTGTGCATACACCATTAACAGTGTGCATACACCATTAACAGTGTGCATACACCATTAACAGTGTGCATACACCATTAACAGTGTGCATACACCATTAACAGTGTGCATACACCATTAACAGTGTGCATACACCATTAACAGTGTGCATACACCATTAACAGTGTGCATACACCATTAACAGTGTGCATACACCATTAACAGTGTGCATACACCATTAACAGTGTGCATACACCATTAACAGTGTACATACACCATTAACAGTGTGCATACACCATTAACAGTGTGCATACACAATTAACAGTGTACATACACCATTAACAGTGTACATACACCATTAACAGTGTACATACACCATTAACAGTGTGCATACACTATTAACAGTGTGCATACACCATTAACAGTGTACATACACCATTAACAGTGTAAATACACCATTAACAGTGTAAATACACCATTAACAGTGTGCATACACCATTAACAGTGTCCATACACCATTAACAGTGTCCATACACCATTAACAGTGTACATACACCATTAACAGTGTGCATACACCATTAACAGTGTAACTACACCATTAACAGTGTTCATACACCATCAACAGTGTGCATACACGATGAACAGTGTCCATACACACCATTAACAGTGCGCATACACTATTAACAGTGTGCATTCACTATTAACAGTGTGCATACACGATGAACAGTGTCCATACACCATTAACAATGTACATACACCATCAACAGTGTTCATACACCATCAACAGTGTGCATACACAATTAACAGTGTACATCCACCATTAACAGTGTGCATACACCATTAACAGGTTGCTTGTACACCACTTCTAGTGTTGTATACTTTTCTTTCTCTATTTCAATAACTCATGCACATTGTTGATGTAATATAAATCAATACAAAGTTGGTATAGTTTTATATATATATTTCGAAAAATAAGATTAACGACCGACTAAAAAACTAGCTGATTTCACCCTTCACAGGGCTCTTCAGGTTTATTCAAAAGAACAACTTGGTGACGTCACAATTACATGTCATCACACTACAATAGTAATGTGTTGTCACAAAGTACCCAAGATTGGTGGACAAACTGGCACAAAATGTTACTGTGGCCAGCTGTTGAGACTTGGTTTTAATATTTTGATTAATCAGTCTTCTTTCTTTTCTCTTAAAATAGTGTCTGATGAAAATAGTTGATACAAGGGTAATACATTAAATTTATTTCCAGCACATTCATGAATATGTTTGTTAACATGAAGATTTCATAAAGAATCAGTTCTAGTTTGTTGTCTTTGTACAGTCATACGTGTTCTGAGTTCATTACTGGTTTGACCGATGTATGTTTATATGAGACTAAGGAATCCCAATGCTTGGAAAAAAATTAGCAGGTAAAAGAATATTTACATTTCATCAGTATTGTTTCTTGTGTATACCTCTATGTATGGTTTAAAAACAAGGACTGAAAGTACGTTTAGTGACAAATGAATTATACTACATTTGGGCCTCGAGATCTCAGCACTGAACGCATGAGTCAGGCTGTTTGATACGTAGACAAAATAATGCCTCTTTATGTTCCCCTAGCTTGGCCATGATCAAACGAACAAGTTGGTACAATGTACTGTGTAAAAGTCTAAATTGAATTAGGTATATAAATGTATTAGATAAGAGTGGATGCTGACATAGATATGTGGTCACCACTAGACTGTATGTATGTATATAGAAGTGCAATGAGAGCTTAGTGGGTTTATTTATTATGTAATATATGTTATATTGAAATAAAAATCTGAATAATCACAATATCTTACTGCAAGCCAAGCTTGATTTGCCTGTTAAATATAAATTGATCTGGTATAATTGTGTTGATATATTTACAGTTCCATTACAAGTTCCAATATACTTGATGCAATAAGGAATTGCATTAATGAAGAGGGGGGCAAACTTTAAATGTTCTCTGGATTAAAAGGAATGTACACATTTATGCTAATATTGATTACCATTACTTACAAGATAATTTTCTGCATCGAAATCAGCCCATCGTCATGAAACTATTTGATATTCAATAATCAACGAGAAACCATTGACTATTCTCTTTGTTTTTCATATTAAACAGGTCATACAGGTTATTCTGCTTTCAATTTTTTATTTTTTTTGTTACTTTACAGGGACACCTACAATCAGATATTTGTAATTATATGTCATAAGATGTGTTATGATATTGTAGATTAGTGACTGTAAATAATTAAATATATATATGCCTGTTTTTTATTCCAGGGAGAAAGGAGCAGGCCATTGAGATGTACAAGAAAGGCATTGCAGAGTTGGAAAAGGGAATTGCTGTCAATGTGGGCCACGGCCAAGGTTAGTGTTACAATACTGTCACTGTGGGCCACGGCCAAGGTTAGTGTTACGATACTGTCAATGTGGGCCACGGCCAAGGTTAGTGTTACAATACTGTCAATGTGGACCACCGCCAAGGTTAGTGTTACAATACTGTCAATGTGGGCCATGGCCAAGGTTAGTGTTACAATACTGTCAATGTGGGTGACGGTCAAGGTAAGTGTTACAATACTGTCAATGTGGGTGACGGTCAAGGTAAGTGTTACAATACTGTCAATGTGGGCCACGGTCAAGGTTAGTGGTACAATACTGTCAATGTGGGCCATGGTCAAGATTAGTGTTACAATACTGTCAATGTGGTCCACGGCCAAGGTTAGTGTTACAATACCGTCAATGTGGGCCATGGTCAAGGTTAGTGCTACAATACTGTCAATGTGGGCCACGGTCAAGATTAGTATTAAAATACTGTCAATGTGGGCCAAGGTCAAGATTAGTGTTACAATACTGTCAATGTGGTCCACGGTCAAGATTAGTGTTACAATACTGTCAATGTGGGCAGCCGTCAAGGTTAGTATTATAATACTGTCAATTTGGGCCATGGCCAAGGTTAGTATTATAATACTGTCAATGTGGGCCATGGTCAAGGGTAGTGTTACAATACTGTCAATGTTGGCCATGGTCGGGGTTAGTGTTACAATACTGTCAATGTGGGTCATGGACAAGGTTAGTGTTACAATACTGTCAATGTTGGCAACGGCCAAGGTTAGTGTTACAATACTGTCACTGTGGGCCACGGCCAAGTTTAGTGTTACGATACTGTCAATGTGGGCCACGGCCAAGGCTAGTGTTACAATACTGTCAATGTGGGTGACGGTCAAGGTAAGTGTTACAATACTGTCAATGTGGTCCAGGGTCAAGTTAGTGTTACAAAACTGTCAATGTGGTCCAGGGTCAAGGTAAGTGTTACAATACTGTCAATGTGGGCCACGGTCAAGATTAGTATTAAAATACTGTCAATGTGGGCCAAGGTCAAGATTAGTGTTACAATACTGTCAATGTGGTCCAGGGTTAAGGTTAGTGTTACAATACTGTCAATGTGGGCAACCGTCAAGGTTAGTATTATAATACTGTCAATGTGGGCCATGGCCAAGGTTAGTATTATAATACTGTCAATGTGGGTCACGGTCAAGTTACTGTTACAATACTGTCATGGTGGTCCAGGGTCAAGGTAGGTGTTACAATACTGTCAATGTGGACCACGGTCAAGATTAGTGTTACAATACTGTCAATGTGGACGACGGTCAAGGTTGGTATTATAATACTGTCAATGTGGGCCACAGTCAAGTTAGTGTTACAATACTGTCCATGTGGGCCATGGTCAAGGTTAGTATTATAAAACTGTCAATGTGGGCCACGGCCAAGGTTAGTGTTACAATACTGTCAATGTGGGTCAGGGTCAAGGTTAGTGTTACAATACTGTCAATGTGGTCCAGGGTCAAGGTTAGTGTTACAATACTGTCAATGTGGTCCAGGGTCAAGGTTAGTGTTACAATACTG